TTTTTTTTATGGCATAAGCCGGTAAACGAGCAGACGGATCACCTGATGGTAAGCAATCGGCGTCGCCCATGGACACCTGGAACACCAGAGGCGTTACAAGTGCGTCACCGGCTTTTTGGGGATTAGGAGTTTGAGGATCGTTGGAGATTCAGGGATTGGGGAGATTGGGGAAGGGGAAGGTAATTGGGCCTCCGGTAACCTCACTCACACGACGAAACACAACGCAAGCGTTGCTTCACGTCGGTTTTCTATGAGGCCGTGGTATCACTCCGGTCGAGCCGGCCCATTCGTGCCGAAGCATGGCTCTCCCACACTTAAAAGCATGGCTCTCCCACACTTAAATCTATCTACCTATTTTTAGTAATATCTTAATCAGGACTTAAATAATATGAGCTTAACTTTATTTATCTGTTGAAACTTTTACAAATATTTCGGGTTTTACTTTAATTCCAAGTTTTTAATTTAATTTATCAAGTATTGAGTAAAGATCCCAATAAAAAACTCGAAAAAATAACACTTCGAGCCGCCATACACGACCTGCTTATAGCAGTTAGTATTGACAGATTCAACCGTAGATAGCAGTGCTATCTCGTTTACATATTTCCTAAAATAGAGATAAATTACTTGCAGACAAGTTTGTTGCTATGGGACGACCCTGACAACTAAGTAAATCCAGAGCAGCTTGACACAGAGATGAGTACTAGGGCTGTGACCTGCGGAAAGATTGGGTAGGGCTGCGTACTATCGAGATGAGATGGTCTGCGAGACACAGGTAGCTGGATCGGGGCCGGTGGCAAGCTTATGATACATAATTGGGTACTTTCTAACTATTCTTATTTCGAATTGTCAAAAACATCAGATTTCTTGTATTTGTTAAAAGTTTACTAGAAAAATTAAAAAAAATAAATAGGTTTATGAATTAAATATTTTAATGTATGGAAAGATGTCGAAACAACTACTTTTGGCCTTGGAAAATACCCAGTTTTTCAAAATGTGCGTCACTGTTGCGCTCTTGTCGCCGTCCCTTACCAACCACGCGCATCCTAGAAGTCGCTAGTGTTGCAAATTTCCTCCACCTCTTGCTGATATTTGGAGAAAACTTTATAAAAGTCGTTAATTTTGTTAGAGTAGGAACGAACTGAATAATTAAATATATTTTTACAAGATATAGCCAAGCAGGCCGTAGTTTAAACGATTCATTTAATAGATTTTGTACTAAAATATTGACTTAAATAACAAATTGGTTGAAGTATTATATTTTGAATATAAATATGAACAGGACAGTTCATAATTGTCATATAAAGAGATGATAGATTTTAAGATGTTTCTTTTAAATTTGGTGTTTTTTGTTATATTATTTTTTATATCTGAAATATTAGTTAGTTATTTGTAAGGTGGAAGAGCCTTAAACTCAAGCCAAAGGTTGCATTTCATAAACACGATGTTTTATTTATTTGCATAATTATTTAGTTATAATAAAATATGTAGTACCTATATTATATTATATTATCATGGTTTGTTTGAGTTTAATGTATTCTTGCCACCATTTTTAATTTTATATTTTTTACTTTAATTTTATCGCAATTTTTGTCGTACCTATTTAAAGTTATGTACATAAAATATTAGATTTTATGTTACTAGTACGTATTTTCTAATATGTATGTTTTTTTGTATTTAAGACAAATTAAGCAAAATCTAGTGATGACAAAAAATGCTTGATAATATTATATTTTATTATTTTATTTATTCTTCGTTTCGTTAAATAAACAATAGGAGACGCTTGTTTTAAAAAGTCAAGCGACTTTAGCGTGCTGTAACGGAAGTTCAGCGGTTGACATTCATTACTCATATCAATACATAGTATAAAACAAAGTCGCTTTCGCTGTATGTCCGTATGTATGCTTAGATCTTTAAAACTACGCAACGGATTTTGATGCGGTTTTTTTTAATAGATAGAGTGATTCTTAAGGAAGGTTTGTATGTATAATACATGCATATTGCACCCGTACGAAGCCGGGGCGGGTCGCTAGTTAAGTATAAGAGAAGAACTTTCTAAAACAAGTGTCTCCTCTCTTACTAGGAGATAAAATACGCTTTCCATTGACTTTTGTTTTGCATTTATAATAAGTTTCCTTTTGTTTGTAATATAAAATATACAATATATTGATTTATATGCTTTTTTTCTTTTTTGTTCATTTTGATATTATTTGTTTTAATTTTTGTGTGTATCCCTCCCAATTGTGTTCGGTGAAGTGATTTTAAAAGATTGGATTTTTAACATCGCGTTTAGAAATTATAAAATGTAATGAAATACGGTAGTTGACAGGTCAGGTCAGTCAAATTCACTACTTTTATTGAAATGTCAAAAACGGTACTTTTCTATGAACTTTGTATTGGATCGCAACGTATGACGTCACCATATTTCTGCGTCAAATACCATACTTATTTCCTTAAAATTAGCGAGAAAAAACCAAAAGTCGATATTTTTTTTTCAACCTAGGAAACTAGCCAATTGTAGAACCATACCAAACTGAACCAACCTATAAAATTGGTGTAAAGGCTAGAAATTAGTCAAGAAATTAGCCAACGGTGAAAGTAAACTGTAGGTACACTATTCTGTACCAGCACCAACTGGTGAGTACAAAACGTAAAATTCACACTGTTAGAAGCTAGCCCTCTAATTGGTCGGATAATTGGGGCTGACCCATCACAGTATCGAACGGCATAAACGGGTCTATCGCGTAAACGTAAAAAGAACTCGCACTGAACATCAATAATACTTAGGACATAACAAAACACAAGTTGATTTATTGGGATCAGTGTTAAATCACTTTTGCTAACGATAAATTTATTATGACAAGTTCTACTTCGAGTCGAAGTAACACTTATCATAATAAGTCGAAGTCTTCGACTGCAGAACAGAGCTATTACAGAACAGAAGTTAAAATTTTTGTTGTATTCATTTCGAATCATATCGAATTTCGAATATAAATATATCGAATGACATTAGGTTTATACCTAATGTCATTCGATATATTTATATTCGACGTATTATTACGTAAGCACATTATGATATCCGCGGTCCTGGGTGACAGTCAGAAGTTAACTAGAAACTGGACGAATACAGAAAATCTTGTATCCTTAGCAGATTTAGGTCCGTCATGAGAGGTGAACTCAGTAACCGTAACTATTACCATATCATTTCGATTTTAGGGACAGGCCGGCAAACGGCACACAGATCGCCTGGTAGTGAGTAATCTGCACCACTTATGAACACCGCAACACTAAATAAGTTGAGTACAAGTGCATTGCGGCATTTTGGGAGCTAGGAATCTGAAGATTATAAATTTGTTGATTACTAATAACAGATTTTCTCCTACAGGAACGAATATCAACTGAAGGGGGCCGTGGAAGTAGAGATGTTTCATTATTGGGCGAGGAACCAATTGCGAGGAATCAAGTTGGTAGTCAAAGGAGACGCCGACGACAAAGGATAAAACTTGTGATTACCTTGCACAACCACGACTTGGCAATCGCTTCTACACAACAAGGTGCGGACAATAATGAACTAATAGACGATAGAGAATCAGACCATGATGAAAGCGACAACATGCGACAACGTGCTGGGTGCAATCGGAGTTAGAGCGATTGTTTCAAATTAGGAAGTTATAATCTCTATCGCTATAATTAACAACTTTTGATATTTGTAAAGTCTATACGTCAAGGTTTTAGGGTTGAACTTAATCTAGTAGTAAAAGAAAAGCTTAAATTTACATCTACAAGCAGCATGCAGTAGTAGGAGCTGATTTGGAATGCAGGTAAGTGTCACTTATCTCAATAGTACCTACAATTATTCACGAAGTTTTTTGTTGTTGCAATGTCTCATGAAAATAATATACAGGTATTCCAACGTTTGTAAGCACATTACCAATCACAACATACATAAAATATAAATGAAAAGGTTAATAAGCAGGCGGCCTCCTTATCGCCTCTCCAAAGTTTATTCTACGATGTCATCAAACCGATTCAGTACTTAACTTTTTTATTGTCAGGGTCGAAGCAGAAAGCTGTATATGTCCATTAGTCCCTTGCCGCCCTGTAGGGGTGGGCATTTAATATCACGTTTCTTCTTTAGCCTGTTCCAAAACAACTTATTGAGAATGAATCTAGATGAGATCCAATCTAAGTGCTGGTAGAGAAATAAATTTATGCGGTGCTGTTGCCGTGTGGTGCCGGCAAATAAAAAAGAATGTCACCACCCCTGCCTTTCCCGTGGGTGTCGTAAGAGGCGACTAAGGGAACTTGAACCTTGTGCAATTGGCTACTAGAAAGTTTTAAGAAATATATTTTAAGACATGTGACATATTTTGTTGGCTTGTTGCTTGACAGAAAGATTTATCATAAAATCTTATTTGAAAAAAAAAAACAACTTACATTGACGATTACATTGCACGTTAATAACGAACTTTCAGTGTGTGAAAATATATTTTATAAAACTTTCAAGTGGCCAATCAAACAACACCAAGCACAGGGACAAAACCTTATACTCGATTGTATTTGGGATGGGTACTGTGACTGTTAGTATTTGCCGCGCGACCACACTGGGTGCCATTGCGGTCGGGGTGCCAAAACGAACGTACTATAAAAAGCGCCCGACTGGGTACACATGTTTCGCGACAACCGAAACTCTCATAATGACACATTACAATTAAATCATAAGACCAACAATGACAGAAAGCGTACGAAGAAATTTTAGTCAAAAACGAAGCCATAATGAGTGTAACGACGACTGAAAACGAAAAAAACCATAACATAAGTAGTCCTGGTAAAATTGTTTTACTACCTAAACATGAACCTTCCCAAGATTTTCGTATAAAAATACTCGGTATGGGAGTAGAAAACTCACTAAACATCAGTCTCAGCGCCGGTCCTAGGGTGGTGCTAGTGGTGCAATCGCACCGGGCGCCGTTGCGGTAGGGGCGCCATAACGAACAGAAAAGTAAGATAAAACGTGCCCGACATAGCGCACACGTGTTGCGCCACAGATTCACGAAAAACGCGACAAGCGCGGAGCGGGTCGCGGAGTGAAATTACATCTGCCACTCACTATTCTATCATTAATAAACTGTCTATTGAATTGGATATTTTTCCGTCAAATATAATTGTTTCAACTTTTCAGTGCAATTTAAATATTTGAAAACAATTGTATTCCTTTCATCCATTGCTTTGATGACATTATGTCGACCCTCGCCGGTTCAAACCTGTAAGAATTTGAGTCTCTTGGGGGCCGTCAAAACGAACTGAAAGGTGAGTTCAAAGGCGCCTAAGCGAGCGCAAACATTGAAAGTAAGATTAATGAAACATTTGACAACTTACTGGAAATTGAACATTGATTACACGACTTAAATAATTTCTGACTATGACAATGTCGACAAAATTGAACTCGATATATCGCCCACGTGGTCAAATGAAATCAGGAAATATTGAGATAATGTATCCGGAAATGTACAGATACCTAAAGATCTCTTTTCAGACAATATTCACAACGTTAAATCTGAAAATATGGTTGATGCAGCTATGTTGTTAGATTCCATAGATTACTCGACGTATCGTTATCATCAGGCAAACGGAGCGCCACTATTGAAACCCAAATTTATACAATCCCGGTACGAAATAAGGAACGAAAGACGAACTTATTAAAGAAGATCAACCTTTGCAAGTACTACTTGGTTAATCCAAGGTAATCGACATTTGAACTTTGTCGTTTAAGGCTTAGATTTGTTGAACGTCATGAAGAGAGTCATAGTTCTAGTTTTCCTGCTGAACATTCCCCGAGGGATGTAAGGGGCACAACACCATCTACAGTCCCTGGCCACATTATTGGATGCACTGTTGTTTTTTATCAATTCATTTAGAAAAGTTCAGATACTGTTTATGTTCAGTATTTTTATATTTATACATGAGTAGATTTTTTAGGAAGTTGATTGTATTTTTTGACCTATGTTTAGTTTCAAGTAACCCTTAGTTATTGAACAAAATGAGGGTGCGTTTAATAATAATGTAGCCGGGGACTGTAAGTGCCCCAGTCAACCTCACCTGCGCGTGGTGCATCCTGCCGATTAACGGACGAGGCTCTGGCGACCGAGACATGGCGGTATAACCATGTGATATAGGCGTAGCAAAATTTCAGGCTTGTGACGGTTTGTAGTGTCCCTGGTGTGAGAAGCTACGCTCAGCGAATACCAACCTGCCTGCCCAGCATACTGATTATGGGCATTACCTCCAATGGCACGACCAATAAAAACACCTATAGTTCCCGATCGCCCCGCTATTCCTGGCCAAGTCGGCGGCCATGATAACAGCGAGGTAAGGGATGCTAAGAATCCCCGGGCTACGAAAGGCCGACAACACCAACAGATTCTGGCTACGTATAACGGACGAATGCTACGGCTCGAGGAACACCTGGCATAGCACAAGGTGATTATTCTCGTAATAATTTTATTTGGCATAATTTCGCAGAACGTTTTTCAGCTCACTTATCATAAATTCGAAAATCATAATTTTATAAATCCGAATCATCTCTGGGCATAAATGTCGTGTCCATAATATTTGTACAGCAGAACCATCATTTCACAAAATAGCAAAATCATCATATCTGCGTGTATTTTCTCAATAGAAACAGTTGTGATCGTAAGTGGTTTTTAATCTTCGGCTAGCGTCGGACATTATTATCCGACACGGCATCCAATGTGTTATGAGTACTTCCCCTTCAGGTGGCATTACAAAATTCCACCCTATATAACAAAAAGGACCTCAGCCATAGGTGAGATATCGGTAAAATGTAATTCAAGCAAAAAAATACCGGACCCCTCAATGTCAGTATCCCTCTAACTAAACAAATATAATGCTAAACGAAACTATAGAGGCAATGTGACGGGCACTAGCGACCCCGCGGGCTAACATCATCCCGAGTGCTCCAGGGAGAAGTCACCGTTCCTTACTCACCGGCTTGCCTTGGCTGGCTGGAGTGAACAATGATGAGGAACAGGTCTCCCACCTCTGGCTTGCCTTCATTGGCCGTCCAGAGTGGAGTCGCGAGAGCAGTGATCCTGCTCGGAGGGTAAGAAACTATTCGTATGTCGCGAGTGGGCCAGGGATGCAGGAGGTTTCGGCTGGAGCAGATGATCTGAGTAGAAAGCGGTGGTAGTTTCTTAACCCTTCAGTCACTCACATTCTCGTTGTCCCTCTGTTGCTATATCTAGCAACCATTCCCGGGGCCCGGTCGGTGAGTTGGCAAGTCTCCGCCTGCCATTTTTACGTGTAATAAATAATTGTTATGCCTTTAAAAATATTCGATGAAAATTCTACCAAGTGTGTTATGCCAAATAAAATTCGGACTATCAAGATTCTGCTAAATAGAAAGTACCCATTCTGGGATTTTCTGAAGTTTGAGGCAGTGGCGTGCTATTGGAGCGGGCTATGTCCAGCGGAGGACCACCACGAGCAGATGATGATGACTTTTCGGGAGTAATTGGGAAAAGATTTTGATAACCGAACCTCTAATATATAGAATAGAATTAGCTAGGTTGTTCTGTAACTGTTAATTCGAACTTTCGAAGTGAGCTCGATCGTATTTTCGCCCGTCATTGGTGGAGATTTTTCTCACAACCAATGACAAGGCGGATCGCGATCGAATTCACTTCGATATTTCGAATTGAAAGTTACAGAATAGCCTGATAGGCGTTACTTTGCGGAAATCCATAATTTACTAACAACTGGTCAAATATTTAGTTTTTATTCCGCTGTTCTAAATTTACAGCATGCGGTATGCTGCACCACCCTCCCGCCCGCAGCAGGGACGCAGCACAAAACGCACACACGACGCGCGACGAACCACAAAACTCAAATCACACTCGACATAATATGCTCCGTGGAGCAGCGAAACATACAGTCTCCCTGAATTCGATGTCCGAATGATACTAGGTCATCAGCAGGGTTCTAACAGTTATCAGAAGAATATGAAAATAATTCTTTTAAAAAAACCAACTTCAACCCTCTCTTTTTTTGAAGTCGGTAATTTAATAAACCTTCTCCTAAGTGTTACAACACTATCTGAAAATCGTATCAAAATCGGTTCAACTAGTTCCGAGACAATGCGCAGAAACATACATACATATAGGTTAAATTGAAAATCTGATATTCCCTTCTTTGAAGCCGGTAATGCTGGGCCACAACGTTGAACGTAAATGTCCATTATCGCGATATTTATTGCCATTATTTAAAATAAAGTGGGTGGCTACACTTCAACGGTCAACGTGCATGCTTATTATTTATTGGCGATACAAACGGCGTTGAATTTACTTCAATCTAGATGGTCGACTACAGAGCTCTATATATCATGAGTGTCAATTTATATAAACTAGTTTTACGACCGAAACCGAAAACGAATTTCGGCAACGGTGTCTATTTCGGCCGAAACCGAAACCAAAACTTCCTTACAAGGCTCATATTTTGAGGGAAAAATAAAGAAAACGTTCTTACAATTTTTTTCTTTAAATCACATAGATTTCTCTTTAAATCACATAGTTCTTGATAAAATTGATTACTTTTTCATTACTCCACTCCGTCGTCATTGTATAAGGACTTGCAAATCCGTCGTACAGAAAAAAAAACATGTCCGCTCCCGATGCGCTCCCGATGCACACTGGCAAGTGGTAATGTAGCCACCACCTGAGCTATCGCCTAACGCCAAACGGCATTGTTAATGCCATTGTAAAATTTTCGCAATAATTAATGGAATTTCCCGTTAGTGTGACCCCGGCATAAAAATCTAAGTCGTACATTTTTTAAATCATACTGACTTATACATACCTACAGACTTATATATCCAGAAAAAAGGGCACTATTTGTCAGTCTTTTGACTATTGTTCCAACAAATCATTATATTTTCGTC